ATATTCCTTTGACTACCAAGACTCTGGCTTCACAAGGATGCTCTGTGGTCATGTGGAGTTCAGGGGTCTTCATGGTGCCCATATAGAGCTGTACTGTTCATGTGGGTTGCAGAAAAGGGTTAATTCTCACTATAGATGGAATTATGCTGCTGGTGCTCTTTCAGGTGCATGTGAATCCCCAACCCCAATAGTCCGCCTCATCTCCCAGTCTGGCTCTTCACTCTGCAGCCTGGGCCTGGACTCCTTCAGAGTGCAGTCCTTTGAACTGATTCACTGTGCTGTGAGACTCCGAGAGCCTCCCTGTGGCTCTTGGGTTGATGTGTAAATAGGAAGCCCAGTTCCTGCCTCCAGGAGGGATGTTACCTGGAACAGGCTGAGATCAGGCTGAGGCAGGGACTTATGGAGCCCACATCCTGCTTGGCTTCCATGTGGTCTCCCTACTCCCTGATGATCCTCTCTTGAAGAACTTGCACCCAACTCTCACTGCCAGGTCTGCTTCTGGGAGCCCAGCTCCACACAGAGTTTGCCGTGGCTTCCTGAAGCTGTGAGAAGGCACCTCATAAAGAGCCTGTGGCCGGTTGCAGTTTCCTGCAGGATTACAAGCAGACTGTGACCTGATGTCCCAACAATGCCCCCTTCCTCCTCCCTGAGGCCAGGACAGGAGTCCTGGGCTCACAAACATGTGGGCTGCTGGGAAGGGCATCTGAATGTTTCGCCCACGTCCTGCCAGGGCGCGGGAATAGTTCCCTCCAGAAGCGTAGGCTGGTGAGGAACCAAAGCTAAGTCGTACCACTACGAGATGACCACAGGACACAGAAAAGTAGTTTCACAGTGAGGGCAGCCATGGGCCAAGCTGACCAGACGGGTTTAGCTTCTAACAAAGAAGGGAGCCCACGCTTGATTTATTTATATCAGAAAACATCAGAGATTTTTGATAGAAAATTCTTCACCAAAACAGGATAGGGGCAGGCAGGTTGCTCAGTTCCTAAAGGGTCATGCCATCTCTGGTGATGCTTGGGGACCTTTTGGCAGATGGAGGGGGAGTCCACTTGCAAAGGGCGATCTTGATAGCAGGGATTGGTACCCCCTCGCTGGCTGGCTTCTATGCTACAAAGGTCCTCATGCATCTCATGGTGGCTTCCCGCAGGGACAGCCCTGTTCACAGACCCTCTGGAGGGAGGCGAACTGGCCTGCTGTCCCCTCACCTGCTCTGTTCATTATGCCCTGCTGCTCACACCTGGTGGTTGGGGATGTTCTTCATCACCTCAGAGTTGAGTGAGGCAGACAGCGGCCCCTGGTTAGACATGATGGACTCTGGAATTTTCAGCCTTGGCAGGCCAAGTGCTAGTTAGTCAGTTCAGTTTTTCCTCTGAAACTCTGGATATGGGCCTGATCACTCTGGGGGGTGCCATCTGCGACTGCTCCTTGGAAATACAACAAATACACTACCAGTGCCATGCCACATTATGGACAGCCACAGAACGAGAGCCTAGTTGGAATGAGTCGTACTCCATGTAGATATAATATGTCAAAATATGCTCTACCATCATGTGTATCTAACAACAACAAAGACAATAGAGTATATACCTGTTAAAAACATGCATTGTAATGTATACATACGAAATTACATTACATACATATGAATTTATAAAATGGCTGTTTAAATAAAGAAAAAAACAAGAATGTTGGCTAACATGAGGCAATGCCGGTACAAGGCCAGAGGCAGCCCAGCGCACAGGTAGATTTCCCAGGAAGAAGAGGTTTCCAAGAGGGATACCAAGATACTCAGAAAAAACAAGGACCCTTCTTTTTGCTTTGGTTATGATGAAGATGAAATATGAAATGGTTGATGATTTTAATGAAGAGACTTTATAGTTAATTAAATGGAAGCCAAGGTGGGTTTGGGAGTCAGGGAGATTCAAGGATTAATCATGGAATAAAGCCAGCTTGCTAGGTTTCAGGATTTGTTACATGATAAGGAAGGATCCAAAGAGCAGTTAAAATGTGGTAGTGCTCTTCTAAGTGCTAAGTAGAATAAAAGAACTAAAAAATGTTGTCTGAAGAGAAGGTACTTTTCTTTTGGTACTAGGGATTAAATCCAGGGGTACTTAACCACTGAGAAAAATCTCCAGCCATTTTTATTTTATTTTATTTTATTTTTGAGACAGGGTCTTAATAAGCTGTTCTGGGCCTTGCTAAGTTGATGACGCTGTCTTTGAACTTGCAGTCTTTCTGCTTCAGCCTTCTAAGCTTAAGGCATTTTTAATCTATGGTGTGGTTTTTTTTTTTTTGAGAAAGAGAGAGAAAGAGAGAGAGACAATAAAGCTCAAGA